CCTGTGGAGGTGTGAGGGCTGAACTCTTCAGGTGCCCACCCAGCTGGCACTGGGAGAGCTGTGGGCTCTGGGTGTGCTGCAGTGGGGGGTGTGTTTATCAGAGAGCTTATAGTGAAGTCTGAGCAGTTATTGTGCAAGTGGATTCCTTCTGTGCTGTGTGGAGTTTGCTTCTCCTGCATAGGTGAGTTGTTGCACCCCTGGGACACCTGGAAACCCGATTCCTGACATCTTCATCAAGGAATGTGATCTGTGTAACAACTGGATTTAGTTTTCTCCCCAACCTTCTGAAATGTAGCTTTATATTTCAATAGTCCTTGATTATAGAATCACAGAGTTTTAGGGGTTGGGATGGATCATTTAGTTCCAACCCCTGCCCTGGGCAGGGACACCTCCCACCAGAGCAGGTTGCTCAAGGCTCAGCCAACCTGGCTGTGAACACTGCCAGGGTTGGGGCAGCCACAGCCTCCCTGGACAACCTGGGACAGTGTCTCAACACCCTTACAGGGAAAAACTTTTTTCTCACATCTAACCTCGACTTTCCCTCCTTCAACTTGTCCCCATTACCCCTTGTCCTGTCCCTGCAGCTCCTAACACAGATCCCTCTGCAGCTTCCCTGGAGCCCCTTCAGCTCCTGGAAGGTGCTCTGAATAATAGCGGAGTAGTTTTATTAAGAACAAGGTACTTACAACTCAAGTCTATGTCACCATCCCTGGAGGTGTTTCAGAGGTGTCTGGATGTGGCACTGGAGGATCTGGTTTAGGGGTTGCAGCAGTGACAGGTTAATGGTTGGACGTGATGATCTTAGAGGTTTCCTCCAGCCTTGATGGTTCTGTGATTCTGTGAAATGTTTTAAATGCAGTTGTTAATTCATACTCTTAATCTTGCATTTTTGTTATTTTGTAAGAAGTTGTTTTACGAGACTTCTTGAAGTGTTTTGAAGCTCTGACATCCCTTTGGTGAACAAATGCCAAACAGGCTGCAAACTCTTTCCTTAAATAAAGGAGGGATGTGATACAAGGGAAGCTTATAAACCCCATGGTTTGTTAACCAGTGACATCTACAGAGACAGTGTTACCTAATTAATGAATGTTGCTCTTGTTACCATGGCAAATGTAATTAAAATGTCTTTGTCCAAGGCAAGACTTTGACTGGTATCAGAAAATGCTGATCTGACTTTTCAAATCCACTTCTGCTCTGCAGCCATAACACTCCCAAATTCAGTAGCTTCATTTTTCTCATGCAGGAAGAGTCTACTGGCTTATTCTTTTTCAAGTAGAGTCACCTAAAATTTATGGTCATTAGTTTCATGAATGCTTACATAGCATTGAAATAGATTCAGGGTCACAATATTATGCAGTCTTAAAATATCAGTTACTTTGAGGAATTAGAAGTGTAAGACTGAAGGACTACTGAAAACTTTGCTTTTGGTAGTTTTATTTGTAATACAAATAGTGAGTTGAGATGGATAAGATCAGAATCTGTCCTGAGCATCATTAAACCCATGACAGAGATTCAAACGTTGGTCACTGCCTGTGCCTTGTCTGACCTGGAATCTCTTTGTTAGTCACCAGCAGAGCTCAACTGTTGATGTCTCTATTAAGAAACTCTTGGACTAGAAACTGGAAACAGAGTAAAATCTGTGTGTTGGACTGCAGAGGTGGCCAAACCTCGTGACATCCAGCTGTGTACCAGATCCTCCTGTGGCTGAGGAACACCGTGTGCCTCAGAGCTGGGTGTGTGAGAGGAGCTTTTGCAGATGTGCTGAAAGGGATTCATTCCCTGGGGCTCCTCAGTCCCTGCAGGAGGGAACTGAACCTCCCAGAGCTGTGTCCTCTCATGGCTCAGGTGCTCAGGGGTGGCACTGGTTGTGTGGCAGAGCTGCCCTGGCACTGCTGGCAAACTCAGGTAGCTAATTTTTTCTGTGATCAGCTGCTCTGCACTGTGTTCCAGGCTGTGATTTGCTGAGCTCCTGAACTTTCAGGTTTGCAGAGGTTCAGTGTGTTAATGAGCTCAGGCAGGTGTTTCCTTGCATCACTTCTTTGTTATTCTGTATGCAAATAAAGCATGGGAAGTGTAACCAGAGCTTCCTGCCCATCTCCAGGATTCTCACCTCTGGCTGGATCTGTCTTGTTATCAAAAGTCATTGGCACACTTGAGCAAATGCCTGAGAGGTTCCACTCTGTTTGCAGTGAACCAGCTCTCAGTATTTTTAAATGAATCCCAAAGTCCAGCAACTGTTGGATGTTACTCCATTTCCCTCTTCCTAGATGAAGTAATCTGATACCAGTATGAGTGGCTGGTTGTAAGTGAAATGAATGTACTTGTGACATGAATTTTTATTCAGTTTCCTCACATCTTTTTGTTTGAAGACATGAAAAATTACTTGGGCACTGTGCTTCATTCTCTCTGTGTGATAAAACCCCTTCAAGCAATAAAGCTTAATTCAATACTTGTCACTCTCTAATTATGTCAGAGTATGGATGAATAGGAAAAATCTTTCAGGATGTTCTTCAGTAGAAATCTGTCCCAGGCAAAGCAGAAATTGACATTGTGCAAATGGGTTCAGTTAATTCTGGTTGCTTACAGCAGAAATTAGTCTGCGATGTATCAGGCAGGGCTGTCATCGTAGGTCTGGGATTCAAAATGTTTCTCCATAGAGTTTGTGTGAAATAAGAACCTAATTTTATTCCTTCTTGAAAAGCATTTGTATGTTTAGCATAATACTGTGTATGAATCTATTAAGGATAGTATTTAGAAGAGGTTTTTTCCCACCCTAGTTTGACTTGTGCCTTCTGCTTTTTGACAAAAAGACCAACACACCAAACCAACCAAAAAAACCCAACCAAAAAAACCTCCCATGTGTTTTCATTGATAAAATGAATTAGACTCCACGCAGATTCAAAGTATACAAATATTATTGCCAGGTCCAGCTCCAAGACAAACTATTAAGCTACACATCAAAAGTTAAAGCACTAAATCAGTATCAATGCAGAGTAGAACGTGGTGTTAGCTCCTAGAGTCCCTAGTTGTTCCAGAGCTGAAACCTGGGAATGCTTAGTGGGTTCCTGCTGGAGGTTGTTCATCAGTGAGTGTTGGAATGAGCTTTTCTGCAGCCACTGAGGGAAGAGGTGGTTGGATGCCTCAGTTCAGTGTGTAATTTGAAACCACCCAGAGGCACTTCTGGTTGTGTTTTGAGTGGGATTTAGGAACAGTTTGTTGTAACAAACACTGCAAGTTGTTCTTTCTGTCCCACTGCAGTGACTGCTCTTCTCTCTGGTGTGTTAAATGTCTGTTTAGGCACCAGAACATCTCATATAAACTATTGCCAGTTATGAACCAGCTCAAACTTCAACAGAACATGAAAAGTTTCTAGAGAATTTTCAATTTAGCTGCTGTAATATTTTCTTGGCTGTAGTTGTTGAACTTGTGATGGCGATTTGGGACCTGCTGGAGCACAAGTCCCCAAAGAAAAGCTGTTGTAACCTGAAGGGATTTATAGAAGAAAAAGGGTTAAGGATGGAAATATGTTAATTAAAGGCAAAAGGTGATTAACTTGGGCTTAGCAAATATCACCTGCTCAGCTTAGGGCATGTGTCTAAGGTGACATTCTGCCACAGTGTGAGTCTGGTTTGAGCAGTTTGGGTTTGTAGAGTACAGAACTTACTGCAGGATCTAACCATGTTTTCCTGAGTGAGATGTCAGGCATCATTTTACATTAATATGTGCAGAAAAATCTAGCAATAACTGCAGGATAAATCCCCTGAGTGGTTTTTGATAGGGTGGATGAAAGTATGTAAAATATTGGTGAAAACCCAGTGACCTAATGCTGAGTGTCAGCCCTTGGGTAGGTGATGTTATACACAAGGTTTTGGTTGTCCAGCAGTCACTGGTCACTTCTGGTAGTTTAGAAAATCAAAAGTGTCACCCTTTAAACTAATGAGTTGTGAGACAGGAACTCCTTCAGTTTTTTCTGGCTTTTCTGTTGGAAGGAGTGTGGGTGTAAGTTTGTTTTAGGAAAGAGACATTTCAGGAAGTGACTTTTTGTAGCTGGAATAAAAATTAGGTCTTGGTGGCTTGGATGGAACCCAAGTATCTCTTAGCCTGTTTCAAAAATGTGTAAGGTTGAGAGCATTAGAATATGTAAACAATGTTTTTAGAGAGTCAGCAGAGTATAATACAGTGAGGACAACAACTTACATAAAACCAGTTGACTCTGGAGTATGTGACTGTGGATAGCCAAACATAAGCATTGTAAGTACTCATGAGAAGCAATTTTTCCTGCTGGCAACATGCAATATTCCTTAGGGCCCCTCAGCTCAGGAGGGACATTGAGGGGCTGGAGCAGGTCCAGAGAAGAGCAACGAGGCTGGTGAAGGGACTGGAGCACAAGTGTCATGAGGAGAGGCTGAGGGAGCTGGGGGTGTTGAGCCTGGAGAAGAGGAGGCTCAGGGGAGACCTTCTCACCCTCTGCAACTCCCTGACAGGAGGTTGGAGTCAGGTGGGGGTTGGTCTCTTCTCCCAGGCAACCACCAGCAGGACAAGAGGGCACAGACTCAAGCTCTGCCAGGGAAGGGTTAGGCTGGATATTAGGAAGAGATTTTTTAGGGAGAGAGTGCTCAGGCATTGGAATGTGCTGCCCAGGGAGGTGGTGGATTCACCATCCCTGGAGGTTTTCAAGCTGAGACTGGATGTGGAGCATAGTGCCATGGTCTAGTAACCACAGTAGAGTTGGACTTGATGATCTTGGAAGTCTCTTCCAATCTGGTTGATTCTATGATTAGGGGGAGTCAGTCTGGCAGCTTTGTCTTACAAACAAGGATCACATTATTTTGCTACACCAGCATTCAATCCCAGCCATCCGTGGTGGAGAGGCACAGGGTGGAGGTTTGTTGGAGAGATTTCTTTGTAGGGCACCTTGTAAAGTTCAGTCTTTGCACATGGGAGTAGGATGTAAGGTTCAGAAATTCTGTGGGTTGATCTCCATTTGTACTGTTTTCTAGTGCCCGCGGTGCATGCAGTGTGACACCAAGTTTGACTTCATCACCAGAAAGGTAAGAGAAATCAACAGAATGCAAAGCATTAGCTGTTGTCAAATCCCAGTATGGACTTGCTTTGAGTTAAATTCAGAAGCTTTCAGCAGAATCCCCTGCAAAGTCTGATGTAACTTGTATTTTCTTTCTGTTCTGCCCTTTTTCTGAGTTAAGGTCCTTTTTGCTTGTAGTTCTGCTTCTTTGACATTGTTGTTGCTCAATATGGGGTTTTTCAAGTTCCTGGGTACCTGCAGGACTTACAGTCAAAGGAGGAGTTAGAGAAACTCATGCTGGAGAGAGCTGCTAACATCAGTAACCAAATTAGCTAATTCAGTTGTGTTTGGGGAGAAAAATGAGTTGTGCTAATGTAAGCAAAGATGTTTTCAGGAGTCATGAGTTAGAATCTTACATTAAAGAACTGTTGTTAAAATGCAGAGAACCAAAAGTCAGGTTCTCCTTCTGTTCTGAAAGTAAACCAGGATTTATCTTGGGTTGGAAAACAGAATTTATGTTTAAAACTGCATAATTAGGCTCAGTGTGTGAAGAGATAACATTAAATTATGTTCATTAATGTACAGTAAGCAGGTCACAGTGCAGTGCAGAATGCCATGTGGAGCAGGAAAGCAGCCTCCCAAAAATGCTGACAGGGATCTTTAGGAGGGAATATCAGTCCTTTGCATAACTACAGTGACACTCTCTTAGCAAGTGCTTGTGGAAGTGAAGAAGGATGTGGACAATGTGACCTGTATTGTGTTGACATAGCTGATGTTTTTTAACTGATTGTTTGGAGGGAGAAATTGTAAGTCAGACAGACTCAGATGTTCTACCAGATGGTTATATATTCAGCAGGTGTGAAGAGCATCAGGGTGTCAGTGATCCAGGTAATAGATTAGACTGTTCCAGTTGGAAGTGACCTACAGCTGTCATCCCATCCCATGCCTGACCACTGCAGGGCTGACCAAAAGTTCATACACCTTATTTAGGGCATTGTCCAAATTCCTCTTAAGCACTGCCAGGCTTGAGGCACTGCCCACCTCTCAGGGAAGCTTATTCCAGTGTTTGACCACCCTGTTGGTGAAGAAGTGCTTTCAAATGTCCAGTCTAAGTCTCCCTGATGCAGCTTTGAACCATTCCACATGTCCCATGGACTCAGGGAATGGGCTGAAGTTGTGTCAGGGGAGGGTTAGGCTGGAGATCAGAAAATGGTTCTTCTTCCCCCAGAGGTGTTTGGGCACTGAACAGCTCCCCAGGGCAGTGTCACAGCCCCAAGGCTGACAGAGCTCCAGAGGTGTTTGGCCAATGCTCTCAGGCACAGGGTGTGATTGTCAGGGATGTCTCTGCAGGGCAGGAGTTGGACTGGATGATCCTCAAGGGTCCCTTCCAACCCTGATCATTCTGTGATTCTGGTCCATCATTGGATACCTCATGGAAGAGGTTAGCACATATCTTTCAATCATGGAGTGATTCTCTCCTAGCTCTTTGTTTTACCCTTTAGTTGGATGGATTAGGAGTTGATTTGGTGTTTTGGTTGAGGTGCACTATTTCCTCAGACTGCTGTTGTTTTCTAGTGTTAGCTTTGGGGAGTAATTGGAGGTATCCCTGGGAAATAGGAACTCCAGAGAACTTTGCATAGTATTTGGAAGGAAGTTCTAGCACTGACCAGAACTGCAGTGTATCAGTTCCTTGTATCAAACTGCTCAGGCTTGCCTTGAGCCACAGATTAGTTCCTGCTTGCCTGGGAATACTTGTTCTGTCAGGAGAACTTGCCCTGGGAAGATCTTCTGGCACTGTCACACCCCAGCAGTGATCTGGAGCACAGGCCACTTGTTGCAGGTTCAGGAGCTGTGATACACATTGCAATCCTCGTTCTGGTTTTGCAACTTCACTGGATTTGTCCTGTGCTGCCTGATATGGCCGAGAGAGGAACAGATTTAGGCTCGAAGGAAGAAGGTTTTGATGTGTTTTCCTTAGGAGAAACTTAGGATTTTAAAAGAGAAGAATGGTATTTTCAGTTGAAGAAGTATAGAAATTTCAGTTGAAGTTTCCCAAGGTGTTTGCTTGGGAACTAGAAATCTTCTCCTGGTTTTTTATTGGCATGAGATGAAGGATTTATTGAACACTAAAGCCCTTTGCTGTCTTTAGAATCATCTTTACAGAGTGCCAGCAAAGGCTTAGGGTACTGCTGTTCATCCCACTCCCAGCCCTTTGTGTCTAATCCTCAGAGTGTCTAATCCTGCCACTCCAGCAGTTAAATTTCCTCTTCCCATCCCTCAACTTACATTTTGCACCCGAGAAACTGCTGGGGAGGAGGGGATTTAATGGGGTCACTGGATCAGATCAGTTTCCTGTGTAAACCAATAACAAGGTGTTCTCTGGTGCCCAGCATCACTGCCGAAGGTGTGGGAAGTGTTTCTGTGACAAGTGCTGCAGCAAAAAAGTGCCTCTGCCTCGGATGTGCTTCGTGGACCCCGTGCGGCAGTGCGCCGAGTGCGCCCTCGTCTCCCAGAAGGAGTCCGAGTTCTACGACAAACAGCTCAAGGTGCTCATGAATGGTAAGGGCTGAACGCACAGCTCTGCTCTTCCCTCCTTATCCCAGTTCTGATGAACACCAGCAGTAATGCCTCGTGTCTAACCAGCTGCAGCTTGGTCTCCTTTCAGTGCTGTTTTCTTGCCGTGCTGCTTGTTCACCAAGGGATGGTTGTGTGTTAGTAGTTTGTTTAGAGAGAAGTTCACCCTGCTTAGTCAAGGTTTGCACCTCTCCGTTTATACTTCATGCTCTCACAGGTTGCCCAGGGAGGCTGTGGCTGCCCCAACCCTGGCAGTGTTCACAGCCAGGTTGGATGAGCCTTGAGCAACCTGCCAACCCCTAAAATTCTATGATTCTGATTCTTTACAGAGTGCTTTAATTAAAGACAAGTTCTGAGTGCCTGTGAGAACAAATGTGTGTGCAGTTGGCATTTTCCTTGAAGTAATGCACCTTCTAGCCATAATCCTGTCACGTTAAATAAGGATGGAAAGCACTTTCCAGTAGAGATTGCTTTAATATTTTCTAACAAGACACAGTGCTTGTTTCATCCCTGAGCTTTGATCTTGCCCATGGCTCACAGCTGTGGCTGCTGGCAGATCATCACCAGTGGTCAATTGTGCACAGGATTAGGACTACATGCAGCACAGTAACTCGTGTTCCAGTTACATCAGGAAAGCTGAATCTTCAGGTTTGGTAACATTCTGTGATCCTGCAGTGCCTTTTGGTGGTCTCTCAGCCTGCATAATGCATAAGCCTGATGAGTGTGGATGTTCCTGGGGAGCTCCTGGGGTCAGAAGGGAATGTGTTCACCCCTGTAGCACACAAATCCTGCTTCACTCTGCTCTGCCACGAGGCTGCAGATGAGTTTTTAAAGGTTATCTTTTAAACTGAAGACTTTCTTTAAAGCTTGTCCTGTTTGCATTCATGTTCTGTATTACACTGTGAAGCTGTAGAGCCACAGACTGTGGTCAGAGGGTGGTGGTGGTGGTGGCTGTGGTGTCCTTGGCATGGGGTCAGTGCTGGGGGTCACTGAGTCTGTGTAGCACTGAAGGAGTGAGGTGAAGCCCTCTGGTTCAGGTTATGGAGATGGTTTGCAGACCACTTGGCAGAGCTGGATGTTCTTTTTTTTCACTTCCCAGAGCAGCAGTTTTGAGATTAGGCAATGCAGGGAGTGTGAGGTACGGAGGAAGTGCAGGGGTTAGGTGTGGAGTCTGCTCCAAGCTATGAATCACTTCTCGTGTAGCAGCAGTGGCTTTTCCCATGTCAAAGCAGTTTTGAGGGGGAAGAAACACAACAGGAGTTCACTGACCCCACAGTGAGACTGATCCAGCCTTCAGTAATGAAAAAGAGGTGTCCTTACTGTTTGTCAGGCACAGAACTGAAGGGCAGGTCCTGCTGTTAGATTGTTCTGATGTTTTGCAGGGAGCAGTACTGAAACAATCGTTGGTGACCACAGAAGGTCCTTAATTGCCTCTCTTTGCCACATGTGAGCACGTGTGAAAGGTCCTGTGATTCAGAACAGGTTAAGCCTGGAGAAGAGGCTCAGGAGTGACCTCATAGCTCTCTGCAACTCCTGCCAGGGCTGGAGAGAGGTGTGGGATGTGTGTCCTGCCAGGGCTGCAGGGAGAGGATAGAGGGAATGGCCTTGAGCTGAGCCAGGGCAGAGTCAGATTGGATGTGAGGAGAAATGTTTTCCCTGTTGTGGTGTTGAGGCACTGGGATATTGCCCAGGGAGGTGGTGCAGTCACCATCCCTGGAGGCGTTTGAGAGGTGTCTGGATCTGGTGCTGGAGGATCAGGTTTAGGGTTTAGGGGTTCCAGCAGTGACAGGCTAATGGTTGGACTGGATGATCTTAAGAGGTCTCCTCCAACCCTGATGGTTCTATAATTCTGTAATACTCTGCATCAATTCAAGATCAGCTTTTTCTCATTGAGTGTTCTGCTGATGTTTATCAGTTTAACATTTCAATTAACCTCTTAATTCACCCAGTTCAGTGTGTTAATAAGTAAAAATTAATTGTCCTTTTTGAGATATGAATGTTCCTTCCTGAACTCTACTGAAACATTTCTTTCCAGGTGCTACATTCTTTGTGACTCTGGGAACATCTGATAAATCTGAGCTCATGGTTTGTCGACTTTCCAACAACCAGAGGTGAGAAGGATGGACAGACCCTTGTAAACTAAAGTATTGGTGCACGTACAGCTCTACTGTTGTCTAATAACCCAAAGAAAATATGTCACATGCTCTGAGGATACTGGAGAGAGTAATCAGACCAGAGGGATTAGAAACGTTAGTGGAGTAAGTTCGTTTGGATTTTCTGGCAGTGTGGATCAGAATGGCTTGGAATGGAGGATCTCCACTCACTGATGCCACTGGAATTCAGTGGGTTTTCCATCTAATGGAGGGATCATGGGAAGCAGAGGCAGGAAAAATCTGTATCCACTGAAAAAAGCTTTTTTGGGAACGATTCTAAGACTTAACATTACAACCACAGCTTTACTTGGGTCACCCCTGTAATTTGGCTGACTAGAACACTGGAGATTGTGTTCTCCTCTTCCTCCAGAACTTTGGGAGGAATGGTAACATTTTGGAAGGGTCTCCTGGCAAACTGAACTGCAGGTTTTGTGGGGTTATTTTCCTGTAAGTGAAGAACCTTGATGCAAAATAGTTATCTCCTGCTTTCCTCTCCCTCCTCACCCCAAAGAATACATAAACAGCATCACTGAGATACATTTTTCCTCTGGATTTGGACTTGATATTGTAGAAAGAACTCGTTTTTTAAACCAAGCTTTTCTTCTGTTCTGCAGATACCTGGTCCTGGATGGAGACAGCCACTATGAAATTGAAATTGTACAGATTTCAACTGTTCAGATACTCACAGAGGGATTTACCCCTGGAGGTAAATTTTTCATTGAATACGAATTAACTGTGAAGCAAAAACATAGTGAAATTGTAATTATTTTTTGAGCCAGACAATGCATTTCTAGGTCATTGGTAACCAGTGTAACTGTGTTAGGTGCTGCTGCTCTCAGAGCAGAGTGCAGTGTGTGAAACCCTGTCCATGTTGGGATTTTGGGGGAACCTAAGACTTGAGAAGTTCTGTTAGAGGTGTAATATGGGAGAGGTTCTCATAACCCTGAGCAGGGTGGTTGTCATCTGCTCTGGTCCTTTCTCTTGGTGAAATACAAATGTCCATTGATTTCAAAGCTCATAGGAGCAAACTGTTAGTAGCTTTCACTTCAGAATCCAACTGGGATTTCTCTTCTGCTGGTACAAACAGTTGTTAGGAGAGGGAAAAGGGAAAAATAGATAATTAAACTGTTTCCTTAATTTCACTCAACATGAAACAAACCCAACCCAACCCTTCTGTGATTCTGTGAGGATAAAGAGGTGTCCAGGTGAAACTGGGAACAGCTGAATCTGAGTGCAGCTGCTTACTGCCTCATCTCTTACCAGATTTTAGAGTGTTTCAGGATGAACTTGTCTATGATTCGCCTGAAATGAGAACAAACAAGGTCAGGAATTTCCCTAATTGTTCTTTATCCACACGTCTGTCACTGCTGGGTTTTTCTGATGGCACAGCCTGTCTGTGCAGGGTTGAGTCAGTGCAGCATGTTAATGACCTCCTCTTGGTGCTCAAATCAGCCAGATGTGTTGCTGAGTCACATGTTGCTCCTGTAATTCCTTGGTCACTACTGTTCTGACTGCTTTATCTTTTCTCTGCCTGCCTTCCCTCTGATGGTAGCAAAAGATATTCACACTTACACCAGCCTTCTGGAGAGCCAGCCTGTCACTGAAGGTACCACCAGTGCCACTGAGCACGACTCACCCCAGCATGTTGTCCTGACCCTCCTCCCACCCCTCTCTGCAGTGCTGCTCATGGCCTTGAGCTGCAGCTGCTGTGCAACTCGAGTGATGTTCAGATCTGACCTGTACCTGTTCCTCCCCATCTGTCTGTTTCATCAACTGAGAGTGAATGTTTTGGAGGAGAACTAAAGCACTCAAGGCCTTCTTTGGAAGGGGAAGGAATTGAAACCTGCAGTGAAGAGAAGGACTTGGGGGTGACAAGGGATGAGAAGCTCAGCATGAGCTGCAGTATGAGCTCAGCCCAGAGACCAACCCAGGCCTGGGCTGAGCCACAGGAGTGTGGGCAGCAGGGCAAGGGAGGTGATTCTGCCCCTCTACTCTGCTCTGGTGAGACCCACCTGGAATACTGCACACAGTTCTAGTGTCCTCAGCATAAGAAGGACATGGAACTGTTGGAGCAAATCCAGAGGAGGCCATGAAGTCACTAAGAACACTGGAGCATCTCCCCTGTGAGGACAGGCTGAGGGAGTTGGGGCTGTTGAGCCTGGAGAAGAGAAGGTTGTGTGGAGACCTCAGAGCAACTTTTCAGTATCTGAATGGCCTATAAGATGCTGGAGAGTGAGGGGAAGTTTAGGCTAGATACTAGGGAAAGGGTTTTCCCTGTTGTGGTGGTGAGACACTGTCCCAGGTTGCCCAGGGAGGCTGTGGCTGCCCCAACCCTGGCAGTGTTCACAGCCAGGTTGGCTGAGCCTTGAGCAACCTGCTGTGGTGGGAGGTGTCCCTGCCCAGGGCAGGGGTTGGGGCTGGGTGATCTTTAAGGTCCATTCCAACCCCTAAATTCTCAGATTCTTTAGATCACATGTGCTGTTGTCCCTGCTGGAAGGGAGAAGGGAAGATGAGAAGTAGTACACAGGGTTACATATCACCTGCTTTAGGTGCTGAATTTGGTATACCAGAAATGACTAATATACTTATGTCTTACTGGACACAATAAATCTCTGCACTGGATAAATGAACTGTTAATTAATGGCTTGTTTTTCCACATGTCTAAAAGAAAGATCTCTTGTTATGCAAGGTGTGTTCTGCCTGAGTCAGTAATGCCCTGCAGTGGTAGCCCTGGCTGGTCAAGGCTGTAGATGCTTGAATTCCACTGGTTTAAGTTGTCCCTTAATGTGTTATTCTGACCAGGGTAGCAAGTGCTGAACTTAGATTAGCATTTATCCTAGGAGAGGAGCAAATAGCTGCTTTATGAACACTGCTCCAGGCTTCTGATCCAGCTCTTAGATGGAGGCTGTGATGTGTTTGGCTCCTTGGATAGTGCAGGAACAGCCTCCAGGAGCCTTCCCATGCAGACCCTTCCCAAAGAGCTCTGCAAAACGTGTCCTGTGTGCTGGTGCTGCTCCTGGGGCTTAGTTTATGCTCTGCTGCTGCAGGAAGTCCTGACAATAGAGCATGGCATGCTGAACACAGTGTTTTGGCTTTGGTTTATCTTCAGCTCTGCAGCCAGAGGGAGAGATGTAAACATCTCCCTATCACACTGGGGTCAGAGCAGCAGCTTTTGTAGCAGTTTCCTTCAGGAAATCAGTGATGTTGCCAGCTGTTCTCCAGTCTTGCATAAGCCTCTGTCCCAACCTTTGCCAGGTTTGGAGGGACTTGTGGCTGCTTTGCCAGAGTCTGTACCCAGCAGGGATCCCATTTACCATCAGTCTGACTGGACACTGGGAACTCAGGTTGCAGTCTGCAGGACACAGTATGAAACTGGTGTTACTGGTGATGGTAAATTGTGAGGGTGCTGGAGGTGTGTGCAGCAAGTGGCTTCACCTGGTGGCTCACAGAGGTTCTGCCTCAGAGAAGAGCAGAGAGAATGAAGCAGTGCTGAGGCTGCAGGTTCCCTGCCTGGCACCAACAGCTTGGTCACAGCCTCCTGGGGTCCAGCAGCTGTTGGTGCAGCTGCTCATGCTTTGAGCTGAGGGATGAGCATGTTCCTCCACGTGTTTATTAGCTGGAAGAGAAGTTGTGTTGCTTAGTGGGTAAAACCTGTGGCTGTTCAAGGTGTTGTTTCTCTTTTCAGGTGGCAACACTCGTGCCATAGGTATGATCCTGCAGTACAAGGTGCCAGGGTCAGAGGAGCTAACACAGATGAAATTCACTGCCTGTGAGGACCTCAGCTGTAACAAGAAGCTGTCAGCAAGTTGGCTGGCAGCTATGCATAAGGTAAGCAAAGCAGAAGAGAGAGAGAAGGCTGAAAAAAATCTTTACAGGGGTGTTTAGTAGCACGAAGAGAGCAGCAGCTTTTGGAGTATTTGTCTTATGTTTTATTAAGGATTTTAGGTCCTTGTTGCTTAGAAAACAGAAGCTATGGATGTAGTGAAGCTCTGGTTGTAATGAACATGACTTTAGCTTTATGCTCAGGTACCTGCAGAAGATACTACAAAGGGTTTCCCAAGATCTTATGTCTATCATCAGGTGAAAAGTAAGAATTAAGACTTTAAAGTCTCTTAGGTTTTTGTTACTGGCTGAAGAATGTGCATTAGGAAATACTCTTTTTGAACCTCAGCTCAGCCAGGTGTGTTTACTACTTGGTGAAGGTTCAAAGAAGTTGTGAGTTTTGAAAACAGGGGACTAATCTTTTGTTGCTGGGCCTTGTGTGGGTAAATGAACTGAAGGTTCATGTTTCCTGAGTTGAAGTGATGGTGGGGAAAAAACACCAACCACACTAATTCCATTCATCTGATCCATTCTGATTGATCCATTGCCGATCAGAACTGCAGTGTATAAGCTCAGGCACATGTGTGGCTGTTTGCTGCTTTATTGCATCTGTTGAGCTCCCCAGTGATCCCTAACCCAGCATTTAACTCTGTGCTCAGCAAACTTTGTTGCTGTGCGAGTACAACTTGGCACTTCCTGAACACTAGCAATGCCTTAGATGGAGAAAAAGAGAGGAAGACTTGGGAGTGACAGTGGATGAGAAGCTCCCCATGAGCTGCAGTGTGAGCTCAGCCCAGAAAGCAAATGGAATCCTGGGCTGCATCCACAGGAGCATGGGCAGCAGGTCAAGGGAGATGATTCTTCCCCTCTGCTCTGGTGAGACCCACCTGGAATACTGCACACAGTTCTGATGTCCTCAACATAAGAAGGACATGGAACTGTTGGAGGAAATCCAGAGGAGGCCATGAAGTTGCTAAGAGCACTGGAGCATCTGCCCTATGAGGACAGGCTGAGGGAGTTGGGGCTGTTGAGCCTGGAGAAGAGAAGGTTGTGTGGAGACCTCAGAGCACCTTCCAGGAGCTGAAGGGGCTCCAGGGAAGCTGCAGAGGGATCTGTGTTAGGAGCTGCAGGGACAGGACAAGGGGCAATGGGCACAAATTGAAGGAGGGAAATTTAGGTTAGATATCAGGAAGACATTTTTCCTTGTTCTGGTGGTGAGACACTGTCCCAGGTTGCCCAGGGAGGCTGTGGCTGCCCCAACCCTGGCAGTGTTTAAGGCCAGACTGGATGAGCCTTGAGCAACCTGCTCTGGTGGGAGGTGTCCCTGCCCAGGGCAGGGGTTGGGGCTGGATCATCTCTAAGGTCCATTCCAACCCTTAAATTCTATGATTTTTGGGCTTGGATTTAAAGGAGATTGGTGGCAGGGGTAAGGAGGAGATGAAGCATTGCAAGAGAAATTTGAGTTAAAAACATTTTGCCTTTGTGTTAGGCAACAAAACTCCTCTATGAGTCCCGGGACCAGTGAGAGCTGCAGCCTCTGCCCCCGAGGGAGGAGAGCAGCCTGCACAGCTCTGCCTCCTCCTGTGTGCTGATCTGACAGCTGGAAACATTGGCTGTCCTGACTCTCATTCCAGTGTGGCTCATTACGTAAGAACTGGCAAAGGCAACGTGAGTCCTGAACCATGAGTATTGAAGGTAGTGTGCAATATGTATACAGTTAATGCTTTAAACAGCCTCACCTCCTCAGACTTTGTATATTTTGTTAAGCCTTTCTTGGCACTTAATGAGCAAGTGACCTGCACTACAGCTAATGTACAGCACAACTTTTATAGTGACACTTCTATACAGTTTGCTCCAGGCAGCAAACAAACGTGGATGTCTCTGCTGCAGAGAATAGCTTTTGGGTATAGATCTCAGGTTTTTCTCCCTCTAGCCAAATGTTCAAAATCATCTATGTATCAAAAAAATACAAATCTGCCTTAGCTATGATTTTATAGAAATCACTTGGGGTTTTTTTTTTACATATTTCATTTGAAACATGAACTAGTTCACCAAATTGGTCTTACCTGAACATGACTTTGAAACTTCACTTGTGTACTGAATAAGCTTCCAGAATGATTTTTAGTTTTGTATTTTCTTGTTTTGGTAACTAGCTTTTGTTAATCTAACTGGCAATGCTCTCTGAAATTGTATACAGTTTAATGTACAAACATGAATAAATTAATTCACTTATTTAAAAAAAAAAAGTGACAATTTTGTGATGGAGAACTTAGTGGTCTCTGAGCTCTGAACTTGTTATAAACAGCACTAAAATCAGGGAGAAGTTAATTGTCACAGTTGGGATAGCAGTGTGAGGAGGTTCTCAAGTGCCTGGCAAGTCCTTTTCAGGGTAGGTGGTAGAGCAGGGAGGGAAGGTGAGCTCAGAGCTGGAACTCAGCACCTCCAGGCAGTGTTTGCCTGCAGATCATCACATCACATTTGGGGTTCAAATTGAAGAGAAGTGAGTGGTGAGACACTGTCCCAGGTTGCCCAGGGAGGCTGTGGCTGCCCCAACCCTGGCAGTGTTCACAGCCAGGTTGGCTGAGCCTTGAGCAACCTGCTCTGGTGGGAGGTGTCCCTGCCCAGGGCAGGGGTTGGGACTGGATGAGCTCTAAGGTCCATTCCAACCCCTAAAATTCTCTGCTCTGCTGCTGTGCCCTGTACAAAGACCCTGGAGAATGCAGCCATGCCTCAGCAGTACTTTATTGTGCACATTTACATGTTCTCTGAATTAGTGTATCATAGGCTCTTGAAATCATCACATTCATGTAGCAAATTCTTCAACAATAATAATAACCCTTTCACTTCTCACCACAATATATACAGTTAATGCTAACCTGTGGTAAAAGCAAGTTACAGCACTGCAGAAATGGGTATAGAAATTATACACAGGACTTGTACATGAGGAGTTAATCAAATTGCATACTGGTAAGTAAATGGGAGAAAATTACAAGAAGTATGGCTAAAACTTAGAATGGGAAATTCAAAATAGACTTTTGGTATATAAAATCATGTACAGTTAAAACTCCAGTGAAGTGCCTGGTTGTGGGGTTTCTTTGCTTTTTTTTTGCTTGAGACTACAACGTAGTGGAACAGGTTATTGCATAACTTGCCTTGGCAGCAGGTGGAGGCTGCCAAGAACCACAGAAACCCTCCTCAGTAAGCTATTGCCTCTCTCAAATCCTTCTCTAAACCTTGGTTCTTTCTCCTCTGACACAGCATCAACACCACCCTCCTCCTCCTCCTCTTCCTCCTCTCCAGTCCTTCATGTTTTCTTCTTGACTGACTCAGGCAGACTTCAGATTACACAGTAGAACCCTTACCCAGACTCTCACCCTTTTCAACTATTGCACTTTCATCCCTGCAGACATACAAATCCCTTAGGCTGCTGCAACTCCAGTACTAACTGTTCTGTCCAGGCTGGACAAGCTCAGGTGGTTAGTGGGGGAACCTTTACGTTCGTAGAGGTAACACCAGTGCTGTAGGCTGAACAAGAAGAAAATAAAACACCACGTGAAATACTGTGTTGGGACTTGGAGAAGTGTACAAATACTGTTGTCTTGTTAGTTCTCTAGCTTGAGTCTAAATGCAAATAATGCAAGATGCTAGACTAGGTAAAGCTTTTGTTGGGGTTGTCTGGACTAGGATTAAAGTGGCTGGCATGTTGCCACCTAAAATCCTAGTCTTCATCAAGCTTTGGTAACTACTTAATTGTAACAGGTGAAGATCTCGTGTCCTAGAACCCAAAGAGTTGATTGGTAATGAGAACTCAACATTCACTGGTATGGAACAAAAATAGCCCAAATCCTGACGTGGGACAGTGGCTGTGGGGGTTGGAGCAAACTGGACAGCACATCTGCACTCTGCAAGTAACACCTCTGAACATGGGACACAGCAAAGCTCCTACCACGGAACTTGCACTCCAAACACTGCTTAGACAGAGCTGTGGCAACACTGTAGGTAGTGGAGGTATCATTCTCCTCACCACTGGTGGTCACACAGAAACAATCCTCATGAACCAGCTGCAGAGCTCCAAAATCCTGGCTGCTGTCCACTGAACGAGAGAAAGCACCATTAAAACTAAGGATCAGTTTTATTTCTCTGTGTGAAATGCTCAGAAATGATGGCTCCAGTGTATGTTTGAAGTTTCCAGTTACCAGCACGGCCTTGCACTGTTGCACAACTGACTTCAAGCAAGGGTTCGCTGCCGAGGTTTTATTCGTGGATACAACTGCAAGGAAAAAAACAACCACAGAACAAAAGTATTAGGCTTTGCAACTGAAATAACTCATAACCAAGGGGTAGGTATTAATAGGAACTGGGTAATGAAGTGGTTTTGAGGGAGGTTCTTGGAAGCTGCAGCAGGAGGCCAAGGGCTGACTTACTCCTGCCAAAAGCAGCAATATCACTGCTCTCCAAGGGACCTGGTGCATTTAGCTCAAGATCCAGACTAGACAAAGGATGCTTTTACAAGAGTACAAGAATTCCCTGTTGAGCTTATTTCCTGCTCTGCAAGGCTGTCTGACACATTTTGTCCTCAAGCTCTCAGTAGCCTTACATTGCTGGTCTCTCCTGACGACAGTGTTCTGGCTGACTTGCCTACAGTTGTTATCTTCAAGGCTCCTTCCTGTATTAAACTCACACATATCTATGTTCTTATCTTGTGCCAGGCATTAAAAACCTTCCCAAAGAACTTCCTGGGCCAAGGCCCCAAGCTGCCTAATAGAGCCACCACTTTTCCATAAGGGCTCTGTATTTTAGCCAAGGGGGGGAATCTTATTAAAGCATAAAGTATATTAAATATCTTCCTACAGCAATTATACTAGGTTGGAAAATGAAACGCACTGCTGAGTTCCTGACAGGAGCCTCTACTTTTTGTTTACCATGGCAGAGAGGCCACAGAGAATATGGTTGAAGGGACTGGAGCACCTCAGGGATGAGGAAAGGCTGAGGGAGTTGGGACTGTTTGGGCTCAAGAAGAGACAACTGAAAGGGATCTCATTAATGGATTCAAGTGCCAAGAGGATGATCAGACTCTGCTCAGTGGGGGAAACCAATCAAACAAGAGGGAACAGCACAAACTGATGCCCAGGAAGTTCCACCTGAATACAAGGAAGAACTTCTTTGCTGTGCAGTCACTGAGCACTGAACACATTGCCCAGAGAGGTCGTGGATTCTCCCTCACTGGAGGTGTTCAAGAACCATCTGGACACAATCCTGAGCCATGTGCTCTGGGCTGGCCCTGGCTGAGCAGGGAGGTTGGACCAGATGACCCACTGTGGTCCCTTCCAACCTCACTGATTTTGTGAATAAGGATAATCTGCTTTGCACTAGAGCAGCACATCCAGATCATGCACATAGGGACATCTATGAGCATCAAGTCCAACCATTAACCTGTCACTGCTGGAACACCCAGACCCTAAACCAGATCCTCCAGCACCAGATCCAGACACCTCTGAAACACCTCCAGGGATGGTGACTCCACCACCTCCCTGGGCAATATCCCAGGGCCTCAACACCCTCACAGGGAAAACATTTCTCCTCACATCCAATCTGACTCTGCCCTGGCTCAGCTCAAGGCCATTCCCTCTATCCTCTCCCTGCAGCCCTGGCAGGACACACATCCCACACCTCTCTCCAGCCCTGGCAGGATTTGCAGAGAGCCAGGAGGTCACCCCTGAGCCTCTTCTCCAGGCTGACCAAGCCCAACTCCCTCAGCCCTTGCCCATGTGCTCTAGCCCTTTGCTGCCCTCGTTGCCCTTAGCTGGACTCGCTCCAGTGCCTCAATGGCCTTTGGGCAAGCACAGAGAACTCACCCCAAGGAGGTTTTTGGGCACGTAGCCTTCCTTCTCGTTGAGCCGAGCCCACCACCACTCCGTCTCGTTGTCGTCCTTGCGCCGCAGGATGGTGATGGCATCTCCCTCATGGAATGACAACTCATCGTTGTTCTGCGCTTCGTAATCCCACAGAGCATACACCACCCCTTTATTCATCACTCCCAGCTTCTCCTGCACTCCTGTTACAGCAAAGTGGAGAGTACATTGAGTTGGGAAAATAGGCTGTTTATCCCCCTGAGACTTTTAGTACTGACATAGTGCCCCAAGTATTAGTCTCTCAGTAATTAAATGTCATGCACAGTTTTCAGCACTTCCATGATGAAATGGTCAGAGATTTAACTGCAGGAGAAAACCAAATATTCCAGAATATTTTAAACTATTTTAGAGCATGAGGTTTTTCTCTTTTTACAGTATTTTATTAAAATGAAGATGAAAATCAGTGTAGAAATGTTAGAGCAAAGCAGCTTTATAGAACCACTAGGTATTTCAGACTTGTTTCCTACAGCAGCCCTTGTACACTTGAGACACCTGAAAATAGCACAGTGTCAGGGCTGTAGAGCCTTAATGAAGCTTTAGATCTGCTGGAAATTCACAATTTGTCTGCTCCATCAAGGTGCATTTCTTGCAAAACGTATCTTGGTAACCAACGACATTCTCTACGTTAGTTGCTCATAAAGTATACTCCTTCCTTCATGTGATCTGCTAGAAACTGGTGCATCTGGAAGTTAGACTATCCCTGTCAAAATACTTAGCAACTCACTGTTGCTGTCAAAACCTCCCTGTGGAAGCATCTCCTTGAAAAGAAGCCAAACTACAATTTGAAAAATCTGTAACATTAAAAGGAGCCTGTGTAGGAACTAAAAACCAGAAGGACTATGAGCAATATCATAATCACAGACTTTTAGATAGAATTTTAGGGGTTGGAATGGACCTTAGAGCTCATCCAGTCCCAACCCCTGCCCTGGGCAGGGACACCTCCCACCAGAGCAGGTTGCTCAAGGCTCAGCCAACCTGGCTGTGAACACTGCCAGGGTTGGGGCAGCCACAGCCTCCCTGGGCAACCTGGGACAGTGTCCCACCACCAGAACAGGAATGAAAAGATGTTTTCAGCACTCAGAAGGCTCAGGTACATGTTGAGATGTACAGCCAAGTCTGGGGCCTAAGCAGATGTTTCACATAGATGAGAGAAACAAAACAGGCTGAATGTTAGTCCAGCTAGAAGAGTTTGTCAGGCAGTGCCACAGCTTACCATACAAGAACTGGGAACACTGGATATAACCTTCTTCCATCTCCTCACACTTGTCTGCAGCAGTTTCTATATCACTTATAGTTGAAGCAAAAATAGCTGCCCCAGATTCAACCAGTAGTTTGCAGAGGTGAACACTATTGCAAGAAGCAGCACAATGCAAGGGAGTCCTGAAATGAAGCAAAACCACGAACATGTGAAAAAATAAACCTCCATGAATCCTAACTATTGGGTCTTGCTATGCAGAGCCTGTTCCTAAAGGAAACGGCTCTTTGTACACATTGTCCAAAACCTGCCAAGCAACTGGAGTAGATTCCAGGATTTACCTGACTCCAGGAAAGCCAAGGATTGTATGTAAAAACCCTAAGCCTCTTCTCCAGGCTGACCAAGCCCAAGTCCCTCAGCCCTTGCCCATGTGCTCTAGCCCTTTGCTGCCCTCGTTGCCCTTGGCTGGACTCGCTCCAGTGCCTCAATGGCCTTTGGGCAGTGAGTGCCCAAAGCTGAGCACAGCACTGAGCTGGGACCTCCCCAGTGCCCAGTGCAGGGGGATGACACTGCCCTAGTGCTGCTGCCACACTCTGCTGGAGCCAGGACAAGATGCCCTTGGCCTCCTTGGCCACCTGTGCACACTGTTGGTCACACTGAGCTGTGCCACCAGCACTGCCAAGTCCCTTTGTGCCCAACACCTCTGTCCCCACTGCTCCCCCAGCCTGGAGCTGCATGGGCTGTTGTGTGCTAAGGGCAGGACCAGCACTGAGCCTTAGTGACCCTCATGCAGTTGTCCTCAGCCACTGATCCAGTCGGTCCATATCTCTCTGTAAAGCTTTCCTACTCTCAGGCAGATCCACACTCACACCCAACTTAGCATTATTTGCAAATTCACTGAGGGTGAATAAGGGGATAAAGGGGAAGGAAATTGTTCCCCAAACAGGTCTGGCCTGAATTCTGAAGTGCTGTTTCTCCCATTTGTTAGGTTACAAATGTTGCCACTTACCACCCATCACTATCTGCTGCATTTACATTGACACCAAAATCCAGCAGGAACTTCACAATGTGGTGATGACCAGCACACACTGCATTATGCAAAGGTGTAATTCCTTCATCGTTTGGTTTACTGGGATCATCAACCTATGGAAAACAGGAAACAGCTCAGCACTTCCTTTGGGCTAAACATGGGAAGAGGTTGTCTTTGTTTCAAGTTTACCTCGTATATGATTCGTTGCACCAGATCAAATTCTCCCTCCAAAGAAGCATCCAGGAGGAGAGCCAAGGGATTGAACTTCACTCTCAAACCATGGCCTGTTCTTTCTGAGTTGGGTTTCTTCAAGTTGGTACGTTTTGTCTGAGTAGAGATGAAGGTTGGAAGGAATCAGTTGTGCAAGCATGAAAACCAGTTGTGTTTTACCCAGACTGAGAATTCCTTACTGCTTGGAACTATGCAAACATTTCTATTTAAGTCTCTAAATAAAAGGCTTCATACCACACTGTATCTATTCAGTTAAAAATAAAAGCAACCCAATGTAATTTTGAAGCTTCTAATTAAATATAGTACAAAGTACCTAAGTCAATGGGTTTTTTAAGCACCTTCATCTTAATTGTATCTAATAGAAGCTTAATGTGTTTCTGGTGGATTGTGAGACACTGGAAAGTTGTGCTTAGCCTGGAAAGCACAACACAATTAAGGCTGAGTATCAGTCTGTGCTCAGAATTGGCAAAAGGATCTGCTGCAGCTCAGGCCTGGCAAGTTGGGAGTTCTGCTGTGGGAAAGCAAAGCGCAGAACATGAAGCTATTTCATGTGACATTCTAGCAGGTGTCATCAGGAGAAGCATTTTCAAGATCTCAGACACACTGACGTGTGTTTTGAGAATATTCTGAATCCTTCACCTGTGTCCTTGTCAATTTCTGGGGGAAAAAAAAGAATCTATTATTCACTATGACTTTCACAGAAAGATTTTAGCCTCCAGCCCTGTAAGATCTGTTTTCATTTCTGCTTCTATTTATATGGCAATTTCAGTTGGCAAAATAAACCTCTCCCAGTACGAGTAACATCCTGTTCTCCCACGAGTATCCAGGCCCTGGGCACACTGCAGTCCAATGCTCAGAGGAGTGCAAGGTCCCTACCTGAACCAAGTGGAGATGAACATTGGTCTCAGAGTGAGTCACATCACAATCCACTTTTCTCTGCATTTTCCATTCTCCAAATGCAGTAGATTTTGGCAATGGTAAGTATTTAAAAGGTTTTGGTGCAGCTGGAGGGACTTTGGAAGCAATTCAAAGTACGTGACAAGAGAACCATTTCTGCTATCCCAAGTCAGCTGTGCTGTTCTTGGAGTCAGCCCTGGGCTCTCATCTCTCTGCTGGGAGGAGGAAAGGAGTGCACTTCCCCCAGAACAGCTACAGCAGCTTGCCTGCAAATTACAAAGCTTCTCACTGACAGAGCTTACCCGTAGCTCCATACAAACAGTTATCTTTGTAGGCCTGGAGAAATTAAACCCAGTATTTTTAATGGAATCTCAAACTCCAGAAGTAGTTCTACAACTCTTGTTGTAGAACTCTTGTTGTAGAACTAGTTCTGGAGTTTGAGATTCCATTAAAATAATGGGTTTAATTGGGGTTCTATAATAAGAGTTGTAGAACCCCAAAGGTTCTGAACCACAGTACATGCACATATTGCCTGTGTCCATGTTTTCCTTGTGAAACAGCTACAGGAGTAAAGAATGATCCATCAGAGACTGGTTTGCTTTTCTTTTGGTGTCATGAAGCTTGAAGTGCAAACATAGCACTGAGCAGGAGCTTATCACCTCCCAGCTCTGCTCAAACACACAGCTAATCTTAAAGCTCACAAAACTGTTCCTTTGCCTTGTTACTTACTGGAGGAAGTGGAGGAGGAAGAGCAGGTGGCAAAGGAGCTTCATCTTCTACAGGAGAACTGACCTCTGGCGTGGGACTGGGCGACTGCTCAGTGGAAGGGACTATAGCAAGGTTGTTGTTGTTGTCTTCAGTTGTCTCAGATGTTTGGTTTGTGGTTTCAGTGCTTATCAGCTCCTCGGTGGCAGGAGAAGGTAGCTCGTTATCGTTGGCGTCTGACGAAGGGGGAGGCTCATCGGGGACAGGGACTGTAGGTGGCACAGGAACTGGTTCTTCAATGTTGCCATTGGTGCTAGCATTCCCATTATCCACATCAGCCAAGATGCCTATGAAGTCCTGTGGGTTGCTTGGCTGGTAGAAAGGAGCACCTTCAATCCCTCCAGCCAGAGTGTTAAAGCGCTGATAGAGCAACTTCTGGATGTTGGGTCCACTTGGGCCTTCAGGTTCAGTGATAGAACTTCTCTTCTTCAGGGGCCGCGGCGCATTGGCCAGTTTTCTCCTCAGGGCCTCGAGGTCAGCATCGCTCTGATACCTCAGGGGGGAGTGCACGATGGGTGTGAGCTTAGTGGGACTGAGAGGGCGAGGAATGTTCTCCACGTTGCTGTTTTCACTGGGGGGTGGAGCATTTTCCAGCTCTGGATCTTTGTCAGAGACCTCAGGCTGAGGCTGAGGCTGTGAGGAAGGTTGGGCTGGCAAAGAGCCGTGAAGGAATGGCAAGGGGGAGGGAGAGGTGGAACCAGACTGTAGTACAGGTTTTCCATAAACTGCAGGAAAGAAAGATGGAAAACGGTGAAGAACTGTGCTCAGATCACATGGTATTTACAGATAAACCACACGTCTCTGCTGCTGCTTGTTTGACACTGACACAGGAAAAATGAATCAAGCTAATGGTACTGGGACCTATCAGAACAGAAATACTCACCTGCTGCTGATGCATCTTACAATTATAAGCTACAAGGAACATCTGGAATATTTTTCCTCTTTCATCAACAATAAGGAGAGAAAAAGTCTCTTATTTAGACACTTTTTTTTCAACTTGTTTATGAAAGTTTTGGGAGAATTTCCAGACTGTTTTGTTCCAATTGCAGCTTGTTTTAAATAACAAGGAAATCAATATATGTATCACCCTAAAAAATATATGGGATCATTTAGGTCTGGAAAACATGTCCTGTGCGCAGGGGCTGAGGGAGTTGGGTTTGTTCAGCCTGGAGAAGAGGCTCAGGGGTGACCTCATGGCTCTCTGCAAATCCTGCCAGGGCTGGAGAGAGGTGTGGGATGTGTGTCCTGCCAGGGCTGCAGGGAGAGGATAGAGGGAATGGCCTTGAGCTGAGCCAGGGCAGAGTCAGATTGGATGTGAGCAGAAATGTTTTCCCTGTGAGGGTGTTCAGGTACTGGGATATTGCCCAGGGAGGTGGTGGAGTCACCATCCCTGAAAGTGTTTCAGAGGCATCTGGATCTGGTGCTGGAAGATCTGGTTTAGGGTCTGGGTGTTCCAGCAGTGACAGGTTCATGGTTGGACTTGAAGATCTTGGAGGTCTCCTCCAACCCTGAGGATTCTATTATTTTTCCTGCTATGCTGCACACATAAAAATAACTTTCCTCACAGATTTAGACAAGTTTTCCAAACTGATACACAAACTAAACTAAGCCAAATAAGTGGATCTTAACAGTCAATTTCAAAGAAAAAAAAAAGAAAATATACTCTACCTGCTTTTACTGACTTATTTAAGGTATTGTACACAGCCTGTTGGTAATTCTTTGGTGGTGTTGCTTGCTGAAGATACATGGAGTAGATGGAACTGGAGTTCACTGTCTGTGGTCCTTTGCGGGGAGACTGAGGTCTTGAGCCTTTATCAGCCAGAAAAGGTCTGATTGCCACAGTTAAAGGGAGCTCTGGCCTGCCATCCCCTCCTGGGAACAAGGGGGGACCAGCAGGTTGGTAGGTGGGGCTGGGGGGCACAGAGATTCTCTGCTGGATCTGCTGTGAGGAGCTGGGCTGGTGCACGTTGCTGGGCGGTGGGAGTGGAACTGGTCTCTGCCGATTTGCTATACTGGTGCCAGGTCTGGGCAGGCTGCCATCCTTCCTTCTCTCCAGGGAGTTTGTGGAACCTGTTCCTAAGGGAACTGGGCTTGGATAGGTCCCATAGTTTTGAGGCAGCTGCTTGCTTACACCAGGAACTGTGGGTGGCACCTTCCCCAGATCAAGACCCTATGCAGGAACAACAAATAGTAAATACCACTTGACTGAGTAACACACATTCCTCATTCAACAAAATGTACATTGATAAACCTGTGGGACAGCAAATGAGTCAATATAAACCATTTTTGCCCCTTAATCTCTATGATTCCTCCTGAATTTATCACTCAAACCTCAGACAGAGGCCACTGTTTGAAGGCACCTTCAGCCGTAACACATTCATCTCCACCCAAACTATCTACATCCATGCAGAGCCTGAGTAACCTGCTCCAGGTGCTGGATCTCAGTGTCTAGGTGACAGCATATTTGACAACATTAAGTAGTTTTGATAAACTCTCTTATCACACTTTAAGACCAGGTCCTTATTCTTTATAGTGTTGAAAAGCTCATGAAGTACTAGAAGGACAGTGCAGATACCACCAGTGGGTTCACTTAAGGATGGATTTAATAACTTCTTCTCTGGTATTTTTATGGGTGCCTTGAAAAAGTGATAGTCTACACCAAGGAAAAAGAGCAACAAAGATATGGATTAGAAAAACAGGAAGGAGGGGACATGATTAGGAGAAGCAAAGGAAGGAAAGGGGAGAAAAGATCTATAAAAGAAAAGAACAGGAAGAAATACAAACTATTGAAGTTGAACCAACCCCCATATATTAGTGGGATAAGAACAGAAAGGAACAGGAAGAATACAAAGGCAATTTTCTAAATATCTATCTAAAATAACCATCAGCAGGGAAACACAATGTGTACAGAACTGAGGTGAGTTCAGCCACAAAGCCAAAGGTTCACACGTTCAGCAAAGCAGATCTAGGGATGTAGCAGAGATCAAACCCACCAGCTTGTCAGTACTTCCTAGAACTGCAGTTGGCAAAGGTTGGCTGGATATAGTTCCTTGTTTTAGAGCTGTGTCCATGCTTGATTCCTTCCAGTCCACGTTGGAGATCTGAGGGGGTTTTACCACAGGGGCTGAGCTCTGTTTAAGTATTGGCCAGTTTCCATCATTAGCTTGAAAACAGACAAAAACACTAGATTTAAGATAACCCATACCAGCATGGCAAACAAGCAAAACAACATGTGCAGTAGTTTAGATTACAAGAGGATTAATTTGATTCTAGGAAGGAGACAAATCATTATTCATGTTTGATTCAGAAGTCGATACCGAAACCCAAATGACTGTATCTAATGTGCTGCTCATCACCCTTTGGCATGCAGATTGGAGGGAAAATTTCTACAGGAAAAAAGATGGTTAAAATTTTGCTTGGAGCGTTGTATGTTCTGCTATTAGAAGGTAAACAGACTCAGAAGAAAACTCCTTACAGAAACACTTCAGCAACACAATTCTTTGGGTCCTGCCCAGACACACTGACAGATCATGCTAAAAACTAAGGGGTTTTTTGCTGTTTGTTTAGCTAAAAGCTAAGTTATTTTTTTGCTGTCTACATGAGCTCTGAGTAGACTTACTCCAAATTTACACTATGGTTCCCAAGGTCACTCCTCACAACAGAATGTGAAACCTCCTTTCAGAGTGGGGTGGAACACACACATTCCTTTGCTGGAAGTGGTGGTGAACTTACCTTTTGTTTTCCCTCAACACACTCACCTGATTAGAATTGCCCCAGAGACTTAATGGCACAAAAATTTATAAAGTCAACTTGACAACTTCAACTCACAGTGTCAAGACACAAGTCTTGGGCTTTTATCTCCATCAGAGGCAAAACCTCATGCATAAGCTGCACAAAAACTGAGGCAACAAATCCTTAATGAAGTCCTAGATGCATTGATGTGTTACTTCATTAACTGTGTGAGACTATTTCTGTTCTCTCAGTAAACCCAAGAGAGTTTAAACAGCCTAATAATTAGATCTGTTTTATACTAACTCAGTAGATCCTTGGTTAGATCCTAAGGTTTGACTTGCCTTTAAAAGATTAAACTTCAGGTTTCTCTCTCTAAGGAGACCAGAGATCACTTCCCACTCCCTATAGCCTGTGAGGATCTCAGTGCAGCACTTCAGATGAGTCAAGATGACATGTAACACCTAACTCACTTTACTAGAGGATTGCAGCAGCTAAATGGAGGAGGTTGTGCACGTGTGGAGGTTCACTGAGATTTCTGGGCTCCATAGTAAGACAACACCAAGTGAAAATCAGGTATTTAATGGCCAAATTTCCCATTTTGTTTCCATTCTAAGCCCCCAGAACCAGCAGGGCCATCTCCAAAATACTTTGCCATCCTCTCTCTAGTACAGAGATCTCTCAGGATGAGCTGCATTGGAATGTTCTGATGACAGTGAACTTAACATCACCTCTCTACCTTCTATCCATGAGCCTTTACTGAGTGTCCCTCAAAACAGGGTTAACACTTGCATATTTCTACACTGAGAATATAGCACAGTCCAGAAACAACTTATCACTTGCCAACTGCCAGGAAGTCAAGTAATGAGGCCCAGATTTAGTCCTGACAACATCCAACTGAAGATGTTGCTTTTGGTTGTTATTGTTTCTAATCGCATGGTCACCATGAGCGAGACCAAAAACAATGACTCTCTAAACACTCTGACCCTCAATAATGGCAATAATTTTCAAAAAGTACTGAAATTACTATTTATGCACTGAATTAATTTATTTTTTTTTTACAAAATACACAGGAAGTTCTGCAACTCCAGTAAGGTTATGGCTGAGTCAAACCTTTGTGCTGAAGATCAACAGAAGGTGTTACAAGCAAATCATGCTACATGTGAAAGCATCTTGAGCCATAGGTTTAGTTATTAGGAAAGCACTTACAGAAACAACAGCAAAAGTCCCAAAGAATTAGATCATCTTACCTGTAAATTCAAGCCCACACTCTTCTACCAGAAGGATAGATAGACATAAACTTACTGTAATCATTGGAATTTCAGATATCAGCAAGTTCATCCCCAAATTCTGAAGTAAATTTAGACTTTCTCTCCTCTCTCTAACTTCCCTGTTCTGGTGGTGAGACACTGTCCCAGGTTGCCCAGGGAGGCTGTGGCTGCCCCAACCCTGGCAGTGTTCACAGCCAGGTTGGCTGAGCCTTGAGCAACCTGCTCTGGTGGGAGGTGTCCCTGCACAGGGCAGAGTGTTGGAACTAGATGATCTCTAAGGCACTTTCCCACCAGCATTTCCCCTGAGTGCTCCTCTCGGGTAACCCAAGCTGAATCTCATGCACCTAAAGCTGCTGCTGCAATCTGCACGTGCAGTGTATGGTGCCAGAGAGGAGGCAATCAAAGAGCATCTGCCTTCTGTGACCTCTGGCTGGGCTACAGAGCTCCCAGACACCCCTGCCCAACTCCCTTCCAATGAGGCCTCTCCAGCTCCTGCTCTCAGCCACCCACAGCCACTTCAGCCCACTAGCTTCATGTTCTCCTCCACATGTACCTCTTGCCTGTGACTACCTAACACCCACTCTATTTCCCTAGTCCATTTTGTATTGACATAAATAAGACAGTGACATGTAGACACAGGAAGTTTTGTGCATTTTCTCTGACTTGGCCTAATTTGTAGGTCTGGATCCAGGACACTTCCTATAGTAATTGAAGACACACCAAGTAGGGTTGGACTTGATGACCTTGGAGGTCTTTTCCAACCCAGTTGACTCTATGATCTTTGTGCAATGGAAGGCAGCAAAATTCTTGCTATTGACTTAGACAGAGTGAGATTTTATCTCAGTTCTGGGGATGGAAACTTAAAAGCTTCCCACAAAGTAACTCAGCCTAAACCTGCATGTTATACAGCTAACCAGTCTGAGAGACACCAAAACATGCTTTGATCATCACCACAGATTTTCTAGTAACATTTAGAAAATGTCAAGTTTTTTCAGAGGAGAAAACTCATCTCTAGTACTACTACTAGGGATACTGGTACTCACCACTGCAGTGAGTACCTGTATCCACTCACACCCACTACACTCCAGGGGATGAATTAGCTGCAAACCCATTTCCTTCATAGATTAAAAGCAACTGCTCAACCATTTGACATTTCGACAGCATCTTCTACAAGCCAGAGCACACCACAGGTTCTAGAGATGCTGTTTAATATGCATCTGTATGCAAGAGCTCAGATGACCATATTAAGTGCTGAGTTCTTAGCTAGCCAGAGATCTTCTACGGACTCACAGTGCTGGGTGTCAAACAGAGTAGGTGCCAGGCGGATGACATTGTGAACAGCAGACTGCAGAGAAGTGGGAGGTGACAGAATAGGCTCCACTATTATGTCTAAATCAGAAACCTTCCAGGTGTCTGGAGATTTTTTCACACACCCACAGTCTGTCTCTACAGGACACACCAAGGCAGATCCAGTTACACAGAAAAAAAAAAAAAGACAAAAAAAAATAAAAAAAGTGGTGGAAAAATTATGACAATGACAATGGAGAAAATTAGAACAGGAATATTCAGATAATGAGAAATAAAAGCATGACAGTTGGAATAAATTCTCAATTGCTTTTCTTCCTGGGAGCATATGAGCTTCTCCTTACACAAATTTATCTTACAGAACTTTGTTCAGGTACTTTCAGATTAATAAACACAAAGTCAGTCCTAAGGCAGAATAATTACTTTTATAAAACCAAAATGTTAACCTCCTGGGGTAGGTCTAGGAGTGGGTATGAGTATCTTCTGAGGCTGACACAGCTTTGAACACCTTCAGCTTTTAGAGGTGTTGTTAAATCACTAACATCCATGGAAAAGACTGGGATCTATTTCCAGCTCTCCTGAAGCAGTTTGACTTCCTGACCTTGGGGTTTTTTCCTACTGAGAGGTACAGTTTGTCTTCCCTCCATCTCCTCCTCTCCACCTGGAAACATGCTGCAAGTTTTGCTGGAGGATTCAGTTTGAAGCACTGGAATGTATATGAATATTGCTCTGGTCTAATGGTGATTCCTTATCTCCTTTTCAGACCTCTCCTAGAGACCACTTAACTAAGTCCTGTGGTTAGACCAGTGGGATCTTGCCTTTTGATTTATATTATGGATATTTTCCTAGCTAACCATTTCTAAAGAACTCTGGTTTTGCTAAGATATGAGCAGAGAGGTGAGCTCTGCCAGGACTGAGAACTGAAGGCACAAATATCATGACCTGCTTAGGATTGAGAACTGGAGACACAAATTTCATGACCTACTTCCTTCAGTCTCCAATGCAAATCAAGTAACAACAATTCCACTGTACAATGGAGATGGAATTATTGATTGTGGGAGACATGAGAGCCAGTTTTGGACAAAGTTCTGGGGAGTACTCTGCAGGAGCAGCTACTTCACTAAGTAAGGCAGAAACAAGCAAAGAGCATCAATGTTAAGGCTATTCCATCTCAGAAATGCTTCAAGCACCACAAATTCCTCTGAAATGGAACAAAAATCTCCCATAGTTTTATTCTGTTTTCCTATTCTATCTCCCTCTGAGAGGTAATATTACTTTTCCTTGCTCACTAGCTTTGCTTTACTTGACAAAAAGCAACAAACTGTAAATAGTTGTTTATAATATAGTTTGCCACAAAGTTGATTTCATTATTATATCCAAACATACAAACTAAGCCTTTAATAACAGAGAAACTGAAGGAACATGAGCTCCTTTTAGGGCTGTATCAGCCAGTAAAGTTCCAAAGAAAACACTCAATCTCCTAAGAAAAATTCATGTGAAGAGGCAAAAATGCCACACATCTGGCATTGGACTTCATGTCCAATTCACAGAACTGGGTCAAGATTGTCTCTGCTCAGCCCTGGTGAGGCCACACCTGAGTGTTGTGTCCAGTTCTGGGCTCCTCAGGGCCAGAGGGACATGGAGCTCCTGGAGCAGGTCCAGGGGAGGGCAAGGAAGATGCTGAAGGGACTAGAGCACCTCAGGGATGAGCAAAGGCTGAGGGAGTTGGGGCTGTTCAGCCTCAAGAAGAGACAACTGAAAGGGATCTCATTAATGGATTCAAGGACATGAATGGGAAGTGCCAAGAGGATGATCAGACTCTGCTCAGTGGGGAAAACCAATCAAACAAGAGGGAACAGCAAAAAGTGATGCCCAAGAAGTTCCACCTGAATATGAGGAAGAACTTCTTTCCTGTGCAGTCACTGAGCACTGAACAGATTGCTCAGAGAGGCTGTGGATTCTCCCTCAGTGGAGATATTCCAGAACCACTGGGCACAACCCTGAGCCATGTGCTCTGGGCTGGCCCTGCCTGAGCAGGCAGGTTGGACCAGATGACCCACTGTGGTCCCTTCCCAAACTGATTCTGTGAAGACATCTAAAAAACTTGCCTCTTCCACCAGAGAGATGATGCCAACTCTGGGTCTCCTACAATGACTCCTTTTCTGTATTTCTCCTTTTCAAACCACATGTGCTAATGAACATCACATAAGGACTTACCTGATTTTGACCTGCCGTGTGTTGAGTTAGAAGCAATGGTGAGAGACTGTGGTTTAACTGGATCCACTGGTACAGCATAAGTGCCAGCACTGGGAACCTGGATGTAAGGTCCTACTGCTGCCACCCTTCCTGAAGCACTCAGGGATGACTGAGGGGATGAAGTTCCATTAATACGATTCAACTGAAAAAGATCAGACAAACAGAAATGTGAACATCCATTTAATCCAGGCCTTTGTGCATGAACAGGGAGGTCTAAGGTTGATTATCTAGAACCATGCACTGTAGCTAAGGCACCTTAGTGATTACCTTATCACACTCCAGGCTTCTACAGAAAGAAATGCAGAAATCAACACGTCAAAAATCAGATTTCTTAGTCCCAGCACATATATCTGCTCTAGAACCCTTTATATGGTCTCTTTCATTGTGCTTTTCTTAGGCAAACAGACTAAAATGAGTTCTTAAATGATCAAATATGTATGAGGTTTTTTTAAAAGCAAGACCTCCAGCTAGGAATATACATGAAAATCCAGAACTGATCTATTCAGTCCTTCTTTGTAAAGTTCCAGACAACTATTATGCCTAACTTTATCAGATCATTTATATTTTTATCCATTTTCCATACTGCAAGATCAGGATTTTACAAACCCCATTTGAAACACAGCACAGTGTCATATTTTCCTTCCTGGAAATAGAAACAGCTCAGATTTTTAATATAGCATTGCCTGTGCCACAAAGAATAATAAAAGGAAACACATTCTAACTGGTTTTGGATATCTATGAGAGGCCTTAAAATATTGTTAAGAAGCTACTTTTAACACAGGTTATTTAGAGGTTCAGTAAGGCTCAGTGCTGGTCCTCCCCTTGGGACACAACAGCCCATGCAGCACCAGGCTGGGGGAGCAGTGGGGACAGAAGTGTTGGGCACAAAGGGACTTGGCAGTGCTGGTGGCACAGCTCAGTGGGAGCCAGCAGTGTGCACAGGTGGCCAAGGAGGCCAAGGGCATCTTGTCCTGGCTCCAGCAGAGTGTGGCAGCAGCACTAGGGCAGTGTCATCCCCCTGCACTGGGCACTGGGGAGGTCCCAGCTCAGTGCTGTGCTCAGCTTTGGGCACTCACTGCCCAAAGGCCATTGAGGCACTGGAGCGAGTCCAGCCAAGGGCAACGAGGGCAGCAAAGGGCTAGAGCACATGGGCAAGGGCTGAGGGAGTTGGGCTTGGTCAGCCTGGAGAAGAGGCTCAGGGGTGACCTCCTGGCTCTCTGCAACTCCCTGCCAGGGTTGGAGAGAGGTGGGGGATGTGTGTCCTGCCAGGGCTGCAGGGAGAGGACTAGAGGGAAGGCACTGGAATATTGCCCAGGAGGTGGCAGAGTCACCATCCCTGGAAGTGTCTAAGAGGAATCTGGGTCTGGCACTGGAGGATATTGTTTAGGGGTTCCAGCACTGACAGGTTAATGGTTGGACTTGATGATCCTAGAGGTCTCCTCCAACCTTGATGGTTCTACGATTCCAAATGTAAGTGTATTACTTGGTTGGGCAAAAGTGAGATTCTCTATAGTTTTTCTAGGCCCTGGACAAACTGAATTGTGGCCCTTTTAACAGTTTATCTTACAGGAATGTTTTCTTTTTGACGTGCCTCAACTTTTTTCTTGTACAGTCGTTCACGCAGCTCATTGATTCGCTTGTCCATCATAGCCACCTCCATATTGCGCTTGTTCAAGAGTTCTTTCTGCTGCTGAAGTTTGGAGTTCTGCTCCTGGTTAAGCCTGTTTCGGATCTTCAGAAAGAAAAAAGGAAACAAAAGAAAAAAACCACTTGTTAGGAGTTTCTGTCTGTTGTCAAGTTGGTTTTTAATAGTGTTTAAAAACCCAAAGCAACTTGGATCAGCAACTTTTTCCCATGTGTCTAATGTTACACTTCCACACATTGCACCAAATTAGCTTTTGCAAACATGAACAGCCCTTAAAAGAAAACAGAGGATGTCCTGATGAAACTAATGGATGCCTAATAAATACATACAGATTGCATCCCATTTATGGGCAACAGATTGATGAATTAGGCATAAAGACATAGCAAAACTGAATTCTACTGTGAAAAAGTAAACTTCTAAGCAACATTTCCTATGATTATGTTAAATCAAGACAGTTTGACCATCAAGAAAACTAAGTGATAGAAAACTTGTAACAGAAATTATGCTATGGACTCTGCTTCCAGTTGCACATGACACTTGAACTGAGTTGCCAGTGCAGGGATTGGGCACAGATTTTCCACTCTGCATGGGGATTAAACTGAAACCTTCACAGCAGGTTTCCAGTAGATTAGAAGGTGGATTACCTTTATGGTTTAAATCAACCATGACACTCTATATAATTACTTCTCTTGCTTTGCCATTGGCATTTTGTCATACCTTCACTAGCTCTGACATTGTCTCAGTGTCCCAATTTGCATGGTAACGTTACATGCAAAGAACACCTGAGGCAAATTTAAAGTCTTGATAAACATACTGTGAAGAACAAGGGAGAAATCTTCATCTATTGAGCATCTTTGCAGTGAGAAACACTCAAAGGCAGATATGCCTTGTTTAAATTGGGAAAGGGGAAAAACAGGACCCTTATTCCTACCTCATGAAAGCATGAAGGATTTGTTTGTAGGTTGTATTTGCTCAGGTAAAGAAATGAGTGAGACTAAGTTTGAAATATTAAATACATTAAAGCTGTTGCCTTGGCCACAATAAAGTACATAAGTAAATAAAATAAGCCCTCAAAGTCATAGAATCATAGAACCAACCGGTTGGAAAAGACCTCAAAGATCATCAAGTCCAACCCAACTGTGGTTACTAGACCATGCAGTATGGATTGAATACTTAACTGCTCACGTGAGAAATTGCAACAATCTTCTTGGAGGAAGATAAACAACAGTGACACAAGGAACACTGTGAATATCCTCCAGCTGCACTGCACAGTACAGTGCAGCTTTCATTTTAGATGCCTCTGTTAAAATGTGTTACTTAAATCTTACGTATTTTCCCAATTTACACCAGACACTACAGCTAAGTTTTCACAATATAAATTTACTTTTCATAGAACCACCAAGGTTGGAGGAGACCTCTAAGATCATCGAGTCCAACCATTAACCTGTCACTCTGCTGCTTTTTTCACTGCACAGTCAGTTAAGATGACATTTAAGTGAGTTGCAAAATAGAAAAGAACCAAAATGAACTTTAGGAGAAATTCTTAGAGAGAGATTAAAACAAGTTGACTCTGTTAACATTCAGTATCTCAGTGGTAAGGGCTGAGAAATGCCCTTCAGAACTCCTGCACACTTTGTACCAGTGTAAAAACAACAAAAACAGCTGTTCAAGCTAATGAAGCTCCTTCTGAGGAAGGATTATGTGCCAACCACAACCTCAGACATGAACAGCATTCCAACACTACTTCGGTGAGATGGAACAGAACCAAATGTCCCCCCAGAAGAGCAACAACACAACCTGTTAAAACCTGCAGTTATAACCCAAATAGCAACTTTGTGTTACTTACCTGTAGCTCTTGATACAACTTCTTCAGCTCTACAGCTGCAGGCCCTGTCATCTGTCCATTGTACGACTGAAACCCGTTCAGCTTCCCTTTCCTTAAGTCCTCCAGCTGCTGAGTAAGCTGATCTACTTTTAACACTGCAGCCTGCAGCTCCTGCTGCTTTTCCTGGAACATGGCACTGATGTGCTCGATTTCAGTTGCTAAAATGAACAGGATAAAACCAACAAAAAACAGTTAAACAGAGCAGAAATGGTTAATTTGTTAATGCTAAGAAATAGAACAGGCTAGCTTTAAATCTGGTGGATGTCTGGACATGGAACAGATTTGTGGTGCAGATTCGCTAATAGTCGTAAAATTTACTGTTAGAGACTTATTCTGTCTTGATGTTTAACACAGAAAGCAAACAAAGTTCTGCCATGTACAAATTTCACGGACACACAACAGCCCCTGTGAGACAAAAAACAGTGTGTCTGCAATCCTGTTTCAGTGCTCTACTGACTAGCTCTCTGTATAAAGAGCACTATTTGCTACGTCGTGCAGCGAACAGTGAATGAAACAAATCCCTCAGGAGTTCCACGTACACAGGTTGCCATTCATGATCTTGCTGTAGTCCACTTGTCCCCTCATGGCACGGATTTTTTTCAGCTTTGTCTCCTGGGTTTCAACACGTTCTTTGAGTTTCTGCAGCTTCTCACTCTCGGACACAGATTGCTGCTGGCGCCGCTCCTGCTGCTTCAGGTACCGCAAACGTTGCTCCTGACAGAACGAGGAGTTTCAGACAAGAACTACATGTCACCCACTTACTTAACAACAAGAACTTCAAAAGAACCTATCACTACCATCATGTGCTTCCACTTCCACAAATCACAGGTTGCATCGAGTTAAAATACGTAGCAGTCCTAGAAAAAACACTTAACAAATCTGTTTTCGAGCTGAGATTAAGGACTTTTTTAGACCAAAACCACGATGTTTACATCTATATGCAAATACAGTCCTAGTCTGAACACTCATCCAAATGCATCTGTGAAGCTTCCTCTGGCAGTTGTTTTCTGACAGTACTAACAGTTTTCCTGCTGTTGCAAAATCAATTTCCAATGCTGTTATCCAGCTTCCCAAAGATGATAAAAGATATCCAACAGACCATTTTAAACAAGCTAAACTGCTGCAAAGAAACATTCCAGTTCTAAATAACAATCCTTCTGCTGGGCACACAAGGAAAATTGGTTTTTTTAAATATTATTTCCATAAGAAAGAACAACAGAATGGAGAGGTTGATTCCTAGGTACTCCAAGCATTTAAGGCACATTATAGAACACACTCAGAACCAGAGAATCATCAAGGCTGGAGGAGACCTCTGAGATCATCGAGTCCAACCATTAACCTGTCACTGCTGGAACCTTTCTAAACCATGTCCTGCCGTGCCACATCCAGATACCTCTTCAACACTCCCAGGGATGGTGACTCCACCACCTCCCTGGGCAATATCCCAGGGCCTCAACACCCTCACAGGGAAAACATTTCTCCTCACACCCAATCTGACTCTGCCCTGGCTCAGCTCAAGGCCATTCCCTCTATCCTCTCCCTGCAGCCCTGGCAGGACACACATCCCACACCTCTCTCCAGCCCTGGCAGGAGTTGCAGAGAGCCATGAGGTCACCCCTGAGCCTCTTCTCTAGGCTGAACAAACTCAGCTCCCTCAGCCCTTCCCCATAGGACATGTTTTCCAGACCTCTGATGAGCCTCATTGCCCTTCATGTTTAAGAGGCATCTGGATGTGGCACTGGAGGATCTGGTTTAGGGTTTAGGGGTTCCAGCAGTGACAGGTTAATAGTTAGACTTGATCTTAGAAGTCTCCTCCTACCCTGATGATTCTATGTACATTGCCTAGGCTAAGATTATTTTGCTAAAATAATTTCTTTCACTCAAAGATCTCTCAAGCTATTTCTTGAGCTCATCTAGAATGAATTAGCGTGTTTTTCTCTACCCGTGAAACTTATGGTTGGATATGTCAAAAAAAAAAGTGTATTTATGATGCTCTGTATAAAATCATTACCTTAGCAACCAACATTTGCTGCTGGTTCTCAATCTGCTGCTGTTGTCTGGCAGCCATGTCCTGCAGTTCAGAGAGAGTGAGCTCAACACGTGGGTTCCCAACCTGCAGAACAGACAATGTCACACCAGTGTGTTATTGTAAAAAGTTGCATATGAGTTTGTTCATTAAACCCTGAATAAAACTATACGTAAAAGGTATAGGGCAAATACATTCAGAAAACTTCAGAGAAATATTCTAAGTAAAAGAATTTACTTAGTACTTAGAAAGGGGGGGATGAAACAAAGAAGCTAAAAAAAAGACTAATCAGTGATAGACAGAGCCACTGAGCTCACATCCAGAGATGAAGTTTCTGGCAGATTGAAGCATTTAAGGCAGGAATCAGTGAAAAACAGTCTGTAAGAAGTGAAGCAAAGCTGCTCCCCTTTGGGTAACTGGCTATCACAGAATCATACAATCAACCAAGTCGGAAAAGACCTCCAAGATCATCAAGTCCAACCCTACTGTGGTCACTAGGCCATGGCACTAAGTGCCACATCCAGTCTCAGCTTGAAAACCTCCAGGGATGGTGAATCCACCACCTCCCTGGGCAGCACATTCCAATGCCTGAGCACTCTCTCTGTAAAAAATCTCTTCCTAATAGCCAACCTAACCCTCCCTGGCAGAGCTTGAGTCTGTGCCCTCTTGTCCTGCTGCTGGTTGCCTGGGAGAAGAGACCAACCCCCACCTGACTCCAACCTCCTGTCAGGGAGTTGCAGAGGGTGATAAGGTCTCCCCTGAGCCTCCTCTTCTCCAGGCTGAACACCCCCAGCTCCCTCAGCCTCTGCTCATGGCACTTGTGCTCCAGTCCCTTCACCAGCCTCGTTGCTCTTCTCTGGACCTGCTCCAGCCCCTCAATGTCCCTCCTGAGCTGAGGGGCCCAGAACTGAGCACAGGATTCAAGGTGTGGCCTCACCAGCACCGAGTCCAGGGGCAGAATCACCTCCCTGGTCCTGCTGACCATGAAATGCCAGACACTAACAAAACTTTATCACTCCTTTGGCATTTCAAAGCTGACACATAATCCACAACACTAGGATAGAGAAGCAGTTGATGAAAATGATTGAAAATTCATACAATGTGTGACACCAAATCTCGTGTTTTACAGCATGAATGCTTTGTTTCAGCACATTCACAGTTCTGCCAGCAAACAGAATTTACAGCTGCACATTCAGTTACTTCAACCACACTTTTTCCTAGGCCATCTCAAGACAAGAAGCTGACACTTCCCAGACACCTCCTTTGCCACTCAAAATGCCAAAACCATAGAATTCTATGATTTAACCACAACTTAAGCATTTGCACAGGACGAAAACACCGACCAGACTTAGACAAACGATGCTGCAAAGTGCAAAACAGCCCAACATCTGTTTCAAAGTATTTACATGCCATTTACTGGATCAGTGCAAGAGCTGCACACTAGTAATTCAACAAACAACTCAGTATTTTTACCAGAACACGACTACACTACTAGCAAACCAAACAGAAGTCACATCATTTCCTACCCCTAATACAGTCAATACTGCTGGAAAAGAAAAGATAATTCAGTATTTAGGATATATTGCTAAATAAAATTCTTTCAAGTGGATGTTTACAAAGTGGAATGAGGTCCAAAGGCTTTACAGACACACTGAAAAGAGCAAACAAAGCTAAACCCACCACACCCCACTGGAGTCAATCACACATCAGTTGTGGATCTGATCACACTTGATCCCAGCGGAAAGCTGACTTAGCTGCTCTGGGCCTGCCCCACTGACTTCCAGTGACCTTGTCTGACAGATCCCCTGCAAAACTCTAAGGAAAGTAAAATCCTTCTCTAACATCTTGTTGATACCACATCATCTCAGCCACTTGGAATGACATTTTTTCCTATTCCAACATCAAAGTCCTACTTCAGTATCAATTCTTCAACCAATGCCTAATACACACCTGTTTCTTAAAGCTTCATTCAGGACAGAAAAATACTATTTGTTTTAAAATATCTGATTTTTTGTTTTGTTTTGTTTTGCTACCTGAATTGATTTTTCATGTTTCTTCATATAATTCTTCAGGTAAGAGAAGCACCTTGAGGTCAGTCACTAAAATATGCCAGGTTTGGACCAACAACTCTTGAAGCTTTGAACAACCTGATCTAGTGAGGAGGTATCCCTGCCCAGGGCAGGGGTTGGGGCTGGATGATCCCTAAGGTCCATTCCAACCCCTAAATTCTATGATATGATTCTGTAACAAAGCTGTTACATCTTGGACACAATATAGACACGTCAGCTAAAATGTCTAGAGAAAGTTATTGTACCTGTTTGAACATTTCCCACTGAATACATTAAGAAGTGGAATTAATATATATATATATTACTGGATATTACAACTGAAACTTGTCTTACTAGTCAACAATAATGAAAACTATTTATAGTAGAGAAGCAATTTAAAAAGTCATTATGCATTTGGTTAGTTATCACTCTAAAGTGAAAAGTAGAACTAGAATAAAAAGTCCACTTGAAATACTCATTTTCTATTTCAGTACTTTGTTAGTGAACACAGTTATTAAAAACAAACTAAAAACTGAATTGGTTAGCTTGGACCTTTTTTATTGGCATGACTTAGGACAGAGTCCTTGAAGGCCAAACATGCACTTGTGGCCACCAAGAGAGACATTTCACTGGTAATTACAGACTGAAAGGCACTAATTGGCTAAGAAAGTGAGGAAGCTTTTCCAAGTGCTACCCACAAACCAAAATGTGCTTACTTGTGACAAGAAAATAACAGAAAAAAACAGACACTGCTCCCAAAGCATGTTCAGGCTCTGCTGACTTCCTTTGGCATGACCAAGTGCCATGAAAAACTCAGCTCTACATCTGCTTCTGCTGGGCCCTGTAGGGAATCCTTACAGAGACTCAGCATGGCATGAAGGCAGAGGAGAAAAAGGGGAGTGTGTGTGAAGTGACAGTATTTTCTCAACACACACATGTGCTCCCTCAGAAATGCACAACTTGCATCAGACTACACAATGTTTCTCCAATACTTCCCTTCTTTCTGCTCTGATCACCAGTTTAAGTCGTCAACATTGATAACTGAATTTCCAGCAATAATTCTGAGTCTAACACTGCCCAAGAAACAGAGAGAGGTTCTATTCTGCTACGAGATCTTGCTAAAACAATATCCAGACTGACAAAGTGGTGTCTGTGTAAGGGCTGTGAACATTTCAGAGTGAAAAAAGCCATTTCAGCAAGTGAAAATTACAAATTTTCTACATGGGAAATGTAACCTGCGATGCACAATAAGAAACTGGTTTGTAAAAGCACCAGAAACAACAAAAAAAACCAACCCTCCAGTTCAATCCCAAAGCTCAGAGGTTTTACAGCTTTAAATAGGCATATTTGAAAGGATATCTCACAACATAATGCAGCACTTTTTCCAGACATTATAGCATGTAAAATACAGACTAATTATGAGATTAATGCAAATATTAGCATCTCCTTGAAGAAGCTATTAACTACTGCAAAATGTTCCACTTAGGAAGTGCAATGTCTAAAAGGCTTTCACAGATGGCAAAGCACAAGAACATGGGAAACAGTGATAATTAACCATTTAAATGCAAACACCCGATGAGAAATCTTTTCATGTTCACCTCACTGAACACCAGTAAGTGCCCCTTTCACTTCCAAGGGCTACCCTGAGGAAAGAGAAAAGAGACAGAGGAATACACAGCACTGAACCTGGAGCTTCACTCGCCGCTTGCTCCTTTTCATCCACATGGCGAAGGCAGCGAATGGACTGAGCACAATTCCTCCTTGGCATCAAACCTCAGACTGTTGCTGGTTTCAGGTCCCATGGAACAGCATGAAAAACACTGACTCTTTCTCTTGCTGAGAACTACTTCAATCAGTTCATTTAGAGCATTTTGTATGAGCTGAATCTGCTTGGAATAATCTGCCTACAAACACCACCACCAAAAAAATTCAGTCTCAGTCCTTCCTCAGAACCTCAGGTCATCCTAGACAAACACAGCACTGCATTTTCAGCTCTTTAACGAAGCTGTTGGTTTCTCAGATTCTTAGGTTGGTGCTGTTCATGCCAGTTATTAACAATCCCATGCACCGAGTGAGACACTCACCTCTCATAACACACACAACCTATCACAGGGAAGGTCCAGACCTCCTCCTTTCTCCTGCAGCAAGGGAAGCCAACCTCCTACAGCACTGCCTGCTGAAGGAGGCACTAAAAAGCCACTACAAACACCTACTCCTCCAGATTCCACGGATTCATTTGCCACGCGGCGATACATCAAAGCAGACAGTTGTGCTGAATTGGAGATTTCTTCTCATTGATTCACAGCAGCATTTACTCAGAGAGGAACTCCTAAACGAAACGCTGCGTTATCAGGCACTGAGGAAGTATTGTGTATGCCTCAAGACAAGGATCACACCTGTATTCACCAATTTCTTCACATTGACAAGAATCTTAGAAGAATCACATTTGTGCCGTTGAAGATGCACTTTAAAGGGGCATGATGAAAGATGGAATTTGCAATGAACTGGAGTTTCAGCTTCTGACATCACCCTCCTGCTACACAGCTAATACTTTACCATTGGATGATTAATATTTTTGAGCCAGGTGAGATGAATGGCACAGCAGTAATTAAATAGTTTGGGAACCAGTTTACAAGCAGCCTCAAAACAAATCAGACCTTAGGCATTTAATTAAGGAGAGGAACCTCCTTTAATATTTATTTCTACCTATTAGCCTTGTCACTCTGAAAATTCATTTTCTTATTCCTCCTTCCTTTCTGTATATGTTCTGTTTATCATCACTAACTCCTCAGTCTACATATTTCTGGGCTATTAGGAATGACTTATTCATTGGCAACCCCCAGGGGGAAATGAAAAATTGCACCTGAACTCTAAATATTTCTTTGACAGGCAAGGTGGACTGGAGTCAAAGGATGGAAGCAATAAGGGCAGATTCCAGTGGTTTTTTGGCCTTTACTCCCATCCAAAAACTCTTTCAAGAGAAATCTAATTATGCCACTATTAAAATAAAACCCCATAAGACCAACCTTTTGAATGGGT